GGTGTTTCCTGGGCTTTCTGTAGACAGGCAGTGAGTACAGAACAGAAATGTGGATGCAGCCCATCACTTCAGTACTAAGATTTAAGCCTGTTTTAAAGGATGTTAGAGAACATCGTTCATCACCAACTTGCTCTTCATTTATCTGCCTGAGATGTCAGAACCCACTGAGAAGCTTGCACAAAATCTGTACGGATGGGAGCAGGCTCCATGCCCAGGCAGAGTGCTGTATGCCATTTGATATAACATTTCCAGAGGAATAAATGACAACCAACCAGAGGGATCCTGGTGCCTGACTTTGAGGGAAAATATTCAGGCAAATTCTACTTGAAGTATAAAAACACATTTCCTCCATGCTGTGAGATTATCCAAATAAGCCACATCAGCCCTTCCTAATCAGAGAGATGTGGTGTTATTTTTAAACCTGCCAATTTTTTATTTTTATTTTTAAAGCCAAATGGTGTGGGATATTAGAGTTTCAGGACCTCAGAAGAGTTATTTGTCTCTGTTTATTTTATTAAATATTCCTAGACATACCCTAAGGATGACAGATCAATAAGTGCCTTTGTGGTTTCCTGATAGAAGGCAGCAATTATTTTCTTCCATTACAATATAAGCATAACCCAATTTTACTCATCTATCATGACGTGTAATGGTAATAAAGAAGCATCAGCATGTGTTCATTTTCCTGTCATTTTATCTTTTGTTTTGGTGATCTTCTGTTTTCATTTCATGTTCTTCCAACATGATTTCTCTCTCGTTGTGCCTTCCATTTGACAAGGAGTGGCGACCAGCTTGTCTTGCTTTATGACACTTGTGGGAAATGCAGTAGCAAAAGCCTGTCTGCGGTTTCCCTTTTCCTGGGCAGTAAATGGAGTATGTCAGCCTTTCACCTGAACTTACCTGCTGAAGGAACTTACAGAGCTGATTTTTGGTTTCATTTTTAGAGGTGCTTCTCCGTGGAAGTCAGTAGGGACTGAAGCTATCGGAAGGTATCAGAGGAGAAATGGTCTCACAACTGTTTAGTAATAACAGACAGAAAGGCTTAATGAAGCCCATAAAATTAAGATCTAACTAATGATAGTTGAAATGTACAGATGAGATTGTCAAGGCTAAACTCAACCCATCTTCCTCACATGGAGAATCCCATTTAATCTGTGATAGAAGTGCAGACTACTGGACTGTTTCCAGATAAGTAAGCAGTATATGTCTCTCTCCTTAGCTAAGTACTCCTCCATTCTAGCACCATGGCCGAAAGTGACTAAGTGTGACCAAATATAATTTGCTAAAAACCTACATCCAGTTTCCTCTTCATTGTGGGTGAAGAGATTCCTGAACAGTGATTCAAAACCCTCCGCAGCAGCTACCTCTCAGCTATCTTTGTCCTGACTTGGGCAATAAAACTCCTTTACCATGACTCCACATTTTTCTTTTAATTTGAAGCCACTTCTATCACCTCCTTTCTGTCATTGAAGCGACAGACAGCTCTTCACTGAGGGAAAATCTCAGGAAGCATTAACCGGCCACAGCTCCACGGAAGTACATCTGATAGCAGCCAGATGCACCATTCCATTGACTTTTCCTAACCCTGACCTCAATGAGTCCAGGCTTTGCCTTTGCAAGTATTTCACTTAAACGCAACTGGAAATGTTTTATTTTGATTTTAAAAAGCTTTCCATGAGCATTGGAATAAGTGAAGCATAGTTGTGTCTGGATATGTATCTTGTGGTTAGTTGACTTTGCTCTGATGGAGAGTTTTTCCATGAGTGAGCAATACCTGCTTTGGTCCCTGTTAGTCCCTCTCATGTTTATGAAGAGGCTTCTTACACTTCATCAGTTTCCACATATAACAGATCTTTCTCTAGATTCACACCCGGATTCACATATTTAAAACTTCTTATTGTTGAGGGCAACTAAAAGAAAGACAGGCACACCATAGCACAAACACATAAACTTCATTGCTTTTTTAAAAAAAGAGGCTAAAAGCTAATGAACTTTTTCATCCACATCAAAATTAGTCAAAGTGTGTTTTGTATAAATGTTGAAAATCTGAGAAGAAAGGGTTGAGGAAATGTTTTGGATGATTTATTCTGGTTTATTTTGTAGCCTTAGCAGCTTTTAGCAGCCTTAGACTAAACAGTACTGTGGGACAGCCTCTTAAAAAGATGGACTACCCCAAAGTCCAACCAAATTATGTACAATTTTCTTCTGGGACTTTTTTGGTAATATGGAATGGCCCTCATCAATCAGGCTGCAACTGTAAATTATCAGATATCATTGCACTCCCTTGCAAGCATTGCTGAAGGCACTTTTATTCTTTTTAATTTTGAAGTTAGTGGTATACCATATTCACTGCCGTACTGTTTTCACTGTCATATGACTAAATGTCACAGTGGTCAGTGCCTTTCACTTGCATCAGTGGTCTGTGGTTTCATTCTGTCAACATTAAAAAGAAAAATCATCTTGGCTGCATTACAAAAAGCAAGTTTTTAATTTTGCCAAAATAAACTGTGACAAACTTTCACAGTTTATAAAAGCTTTCTTTTAAGTTGAAGGTGACTTATAAAGGAGAAATTGTGTTATGTCCTTATGTGAGTTTTTATAATGTACAAAAAAGGGCATAAGAAGAGTTGAGAAGTTTGGGATATTTAATTTTGTTTTTACCTCTAGCAAAATCAGGGGAGGTCAAATCTGACAATAATTTAGATTCCTTCTTCTGCCTTCTCCTTCACTTCCTTTGCCCTCCAACCTTGCAGGTCTGTTTTGCATGCCTGAGAAAAGTGGGTTCATAAAGGATGCCCGGCAAATTCTCGTGACTTATTTTTGGCCAACTGAAACCTGAAAAAATTCACAGGACTCTTTTCATTGGAGCCCTAGTGATTCCTCTGGAATAAAGTAATGAAAATGAATGTCAAGGCTTGACAGCCTTGATATCTCTGGGTTAAGCAAACAATCAGGACTAAAAAAAATCAGACTGCCTTTATGTCATTTAAACGAACCACAAGAAATCACAGCAACTTTTTTCCCTTTATCAATTTAATGTAGCAGAAATCAGAGTTCTGATGACATTTCTTGAAAATGGGCAACTATAATAAACCGTCTGCAGTATAAGACATTCAGTTCTGATATGCAAAGCAGCAGCAGACTCTGGAAAAGCTTTTGAAACAAGAAAGTACTTCCCAGCATGTGTAAAGTGACAAATTATTCTGTCAATATTTTAATGGTATACTTTGCAATGAAAAGCTCACCTTATGAAACAGGTGCATAGGCAAGAACAGAATGAGATAAGTTAAAGGCCACAAGCTTTAAAGATCACAAATAAAATCACTCACAAATAAAATACGCTAGGAATAAGAAAGAAAGAAAAAAGAAAAGAAAAAAAGAAAAAAAGAAAAAAAAGAAAAAAGCACTTTCAGAGAAGAACAATGTTCATTGTGAAAAAATGAACTGAAAAATGAAAATAAAAGGATATTAAGAACTGGAATGAAACATCAGGACAGCAATAAAGCCATGAACAAAGACAAGAAGTTACTGTGCTGCGTGTTTTCTATCTTGTTTTAGTACCTGAAAATTGTTCCCCCCCTCCTTAAAAAGGAAATAAGATGCTACATCTGCTGTGGTTGCTGTATCAGCATTCACTGGCAGTGCCTAGGTCTGGGCTGAGCATCAGGTGCTTGCAACAAGCAGTCGATCCCTGAATGTGGAGGCTGTTGTGATGATGGTGATGATGCTCTGCCTGGGTTGGACCCCACATCTGGGCACACTCTCCCTACTGGGGAAGTGCCACAGTACCTCTGCAATGGATGCTTCTGCAGAGACATCCCACTTCCACCTCTGGCAGTGAAGACCTGCCCTCGTCTTTTACATTCAAGAAATTCCCAGCTCCACCACCTGCTGGGCTGGGCACAATGGCCTGGGCTGGGCAGCCAGGCTGAGGAGGATGCTGGTGGCATTGCAGCGATGAAGGCCTGCGGTTCCCACCCTCACCCCAAGCCTTCCCCAAACGCACGCTGAGCTGTTGCTGTCCTGGCCCAGCCCTATCCCTGCTCGTGGGGCTGAGCAGCCTCTTTGTAACCCTTCTGGCCCTGCACTGTGGCAGAGGGCAGCATGTCACCTCGGAGCTCCACGTTTCTTTTATTTGAGAAAAGAAAGCTCAACAGGGAGCACCTATAAGGCCCTGCTGCATAATTCCAGGTGAGAATGTTTTATGTTCCAGAATAAATTTTAAAAGTACCCAATTCCAGATCCTGTATTTTCTTTACAAGTGCTGCCATGGGCACAGACACTGACTAGAAAGAAAGAAATCATTCCTGTGATTCTTTCACCTTGGTATTTCGGGGGGTTGGAAAGCAGCAGTCACCTGAACACACAGTGCACAGAGAGGCCACCTTTCCTATCCAGGACTACCGGTATCCTCATTCAGACACACTTTTAATAGACACTTCTTTCATTAAGAAAACTGATTTCAGTGGGACCGTTTATGTATCAAGCATGAGTAATTGTATTACAATCTGGCTCTTCATGGCATGTTCCAAACCAGCTCTTTCATTATTATTATATTTTTTTTTCTAAGGAGGGCAGTGATTCAGCATTAACATGGTTTAAAATATGAGTGATATTTTCAGGGACTCCTCAGTGCACAAGGAGATGAATGTTAATGAAGACTTCTTTAAAATAGTGAAAGAAGTAATTCCCTTAATGTTCCATTTATCTGCAGCACAGACTCTTGAGAACACAGAATAACAATTACTTACAAATAAAAAGAAGTCTTTTTTTTTTTTTCCAGTTCAACTAATACTTAGCACCATAAGGACCTCGATAATTTTCATAGTCAATTTACAGGAACTTGTTCTTACAAAGATGAATCATCAACAATGCTAAGTAATCTGAAATTATCAGGGTTTCACATTTTGCAACCGAAGCTGAAAGGACAGCTATATGACAATAACATAATCAAAGAGAGAACAAGAGTCCTAAAATGTAAAAAATTAATCGTCACTTACCCTGTTCAAGCAGTATTTGCTGTCTTTCCCATAAAAGTGTTGGAGACATTTCATGTTCTGCTTGTCGACAATTTTGTTGAAGAACTCGTTGATTGTTCTCACGGAGACAGCACAGACAGCAGACCTGTTTGTTGGTTCTGAGGAATCAGGTTTACTTTGTGCAAAAACGCCATAGAGAATATCGTCGTTCAACCCAAGGCCCATTTCATGGGCTAGAGCTGCACCTGGCTTGCTTACATATGCAGCTTGCAAAATATTGAATACCTCCTTTCGAATAGACCTCTTCCTCCGCTTTTCGGTAAAAATACACTCAAGAGGCATTTCCATGTAAGAACGCATCTCTGAATCTAAAGTGCAGAAGCGGATAATTCTAGTGTGGAAAGCCTGGGAGTCGAGAGATTCTCTCTGGACAGTCAGAAAATAGACAAAGTGGTCATTTTCAAAGGCATGGACATACCTAATGGGATACGAGTCGCGGAACTGAGGGAGTATGTCTATGTAAGACTGATCTGTCAGAAATTCAAACCCATCCTGTGTTTCTTTTAACCTTCTAACTGATATTGAATGCAGTACATGGGGGGGTTGAAATGCAGATGTCACAGTGTTTCCAACAAAGAAGTTGACAAACCTGTCCTTTTCAGTCACCAGAACTTTGGTTCCTAACGTGCTTACAACACAATCAGGACAATTATCTGGTTCTCCGTCCACCTGTGGTGAATACATACAGTGCACCTCGCTTTCTATGTCAGCGGGGTTGTCAGGGGGAATGATGTGACGGTGACAGATGCCTCCGGACACGCTACCACAGCTGATGAGCTGATCATCGTAATAGGTTTCTAAGAGCAGTGCCATGTTGACGTTATCCTTCCATACACTGCTAGATAAATTGGCTTTATCTTTGCAGTCCTCACATGGTGTGCAGTCAGGATTCTCCAAAACGGGCCCAGTCTTGTACACAGAAATGTTCTGGAGAGTTTCATTTAGTACATAAATCTTGTTGATGGCTCCAATATAAACATGATGCTTGTATAAAACTACATTCTGAATTGGTGTCTCTGTGACGAAGTTAGGAAGATCATATTTTACACTCAAGTTCATCTCTGATTTTTTAGCTGCTTCTTTGCATTGTCCATGGCTTCTCTGCAGCAACGCAAACAGGAATAGGATAATCCCAGAAGGATAGGCAGTAACAGGCTTCATTGTCAGAGGTTTAATCTGTCAAAGCATATTTAAAGGGAAGAGTCGTTATATTTCTTAAAGTAAAACATGAGTTTATCAGTCATCAGAAATCTGGTTCTAGGCTGCACGTATTAGCTGAACTATTTCAGTGTAAGAAGTGTCATAATCTTACTTAGTGTCCTTAATAGCCTTGTGCTAAAAACTGCTATGATTACTGTTCTTAGTGGGTACCCGTTTTACTGCTTTCAGAACAATTCACAGCAGGATTTTATGATGATAAATTTTGCAAGACCCCTTGGCGTATTTTACAATGATAGACGAGAGATGACTACTTCCACATCGGTATTAAAACAGCTGACTGATAAGGTTTAAAACAAGATGGTTTATAGGTAGCTGAAAGCGAATGCACTCAGGACACTCTCACAATGCACACAAAGCAGATATAGCACTTTAGTGTGTGGATATAAGGCACTTGGCAAGTACCCTAAAGGGCTGAAATGGTTCTTAACACAGCTGCTCAAAAATAAGAAACAGAAGAGATTAAATAATGTGCAGAACTGAGCTGGTAGTGAGCTTCTCTTTTATTCTGTTGGCATTTTTGAGTAACCATGGAAGAGGCTTTTCTCCAAAAGAATAGAGGAAGAAACCCCTGTCTCTCCCCTTCCAGCTCCCCAGATCGCTGTCTTTCATAAGTGCCCATTTTGGAAAAAGAATGTTTTTTTTCAGCCAGCTCTACTTCTTGGAATAGTAATTTTCCCCAGTGTTGACAAGGTTTTGTAATATATTGTTAGAATATTTTATGCATCATGTGGTGCTTGGCATGTGCAAGTTTTATTTTAGGCCTTGTACCACAGCAATAAGTCACTCTGGTGAACCCTTAGAAGATAAAGGCATATCACTGTATCGTAAACAAAGGGGTATCAAGTGACCTAGAGCCATTAACTGATGAAATAAAAAAAAACTAGCACTTTTCTTTTTTAACTTTTCCACACAATTGTTTGATGTGGCTTTAAAAAACAAAGACAGATGACTAGTGTGATATTTCACCCCCCTGGAAGATCAATTAAATGGACTGTGGTTATGAGCATTTTGGTGCAGTGTCCACACCATGCCCCGTCACACCAGACATTTTCTGCTAATGTCATGACACAGTTGTTAAGCTAAATTTAGCTGCTTCATGGAGAACACAATTCTGCATTCTAACAGCAATATGATCATGTAACTTTTGGAAAATGCTTATAGTTTGGCTACAGTTAAAGCAACTGTTGCTAATAGGGAAATGCTTAAAGGTTTCGAAACAGACAACCTTGAAAATTACAAAATAATAGGAGAAATAAGGAGCTCTATATTGACTTTTTATTTCACTAAGACTTTAAGCAAAATGAAAAGATGACTATAGACCAGACCTATCTCAGCTGTATATAAATTCAGTGTCTTTACTTGATTGATTAAAACAATCCATCAATAATTCTTTTGCACTCTTTGTGACATTCTATTTCAGCATCTACTGAATTCTTTTTCTGGCTTACCTCATTAATTACACAAAATAATAGGTTTTGGAAACTAAGACTTGTTCTTTTTCCCTGTTATCTGATAGGAGTCATGATTGAGAGCTGGGGGTAAAAATCAGAAACAGGCTGTTTGCAAGTACTAGCTGGTAAGAACAATTCACACTTCTGGTACTGAGAAATGAAGATCTTCTTTCAAATCAACATTTTCAGATATTAATTAGTGATAACAGAACCCTGGAAATTACCCAAACATGTGTTTATGTTCAAAATAAAGAAATAATAATAATAAAAAAGAACAGGAATATTATTATAATTAGAAAATAAGCACAGTACAGGGAATGCTGACTTCATATTTTATGGGGCAGGAAACTGTTTTCTCATCCCATGAAACTTCTTGCTGTTACAGATTTTTTCCTGCTCTGTACTGGGACGAAACCAAGAGCTTTCGAAGTTTGTGTGGAACACCCAAAAGTCACAAGCAATCCAAGAACAACCGTGTTCACGTCCCTGCATCAACAGTGCTGAGCTGGGAGGAATAGGAGACTGGTCCAACTGTCTGTCTCCTTTCAGCCAGCATTTCCACCCTGAGAAACTCTGTTAAAACTGATACATTCCTGCAGATTTCGTTCTGACAAGTCAACATGTTCTGACAAATACTAGATTAAGCAGAAAATTCCAAAAGTGCTCAATTTCTGACACAACACAGAGGCAGATATATTCTTTACATCAACAATTTTGAAGCCCAGTGACAGTGGTGGGTCTGAACATGAAAAGAAAAACAATAGGTGGGACAAGAGTAGGATGAGGATGAAGATGATTGTCCACAATTACAGGAATAAAGACCCAAGGTTACTTGTCAGCCAGGCACTGACTTTGTTTCAGTGTATTCAGTGTTATGTTCTTGTTTTAATATGTTCCCGAATAATTTCCCTCCCAGTGTGCTCGAATACACCCCCTCAGTCTCCTGCTCACAATCCTCCCTGTTCTTCTAGCCTCCAAAACAGAGGATCCCTAGCTGTCCGACAGTAAACCCCAGTGTGTGCTTCAGAGGGATTCGGAGCCATAAATACAGACTGACTTATTCTTTCCCTCAAACCACATCTTGGGATGTGAGGCCAGTATCCTCAGCTTATATCCAGTTGGTGAAAGAGCACTGGTTTGAGTCTGTGCTCTGGAGTCAGAAAAATTCCTCCTCAGACTCCTTTAGCAAAAGAGATTCAAAACAAAGAGCTTCGTAGCAAGAACAAGGGTGGGATTCAGTACAAAGCAACAGATGCCAGGAATATTAGGTATTGTATTTCACCACAAAGGGAAGGAAAATGTGAGTGATAAATGGCAACCAAAGCATCTTTGCTCTTATATCTGAGCTCTATCATTGTGTCTTCCTTTGTATGCTTGTGAGGTGTTTCAAGCATCCTCCTAGGCAGAAATCTGTGGATTCTCACTTACAGGAACCTCAGGCTCACTAGGCATGGACAGCTTTAGGGAAGATGGTTCCGCACAGTGCATATCTCCAGCAGACTGTGAATCTTTCCTCAAGGTTTCTGAAATCAGAAGGCATGGGTTCTCTTCTGAGACAGATATAGCTTAGGGAGGACACAGAAGTTTTGTGAAGAGTACAGTGTGCAACTCCTTTTTTTAGGTATTTGTTTTTTCACAGTCCTCACTTCATAGAAGCTGGTACTCAGTGAGACTCCTGTGACTTCAGTTCCTCTTTTCATTTGCATTTGACCCAGAGTCTTTCTCTGCTCCATAGCTGCAGCCTCCAGCACAGAGTTGCTTTTTGTAACCTTCAAACCAGGTCATTGCAAACACACTTCACTTGAATACATTCTGAAGAAGCAGGAAAACTTTGGAAAATTAAAAACTCAGTCCCACTTACTTCAAAAGTCCAATAGTCCCACTTTTCCTAAACACATACACAAATGCAATTTCTGTTGAAATTAAGCACTTAGAGTTTTGCTGAATGACAACCAAAATACTTAGGCTATAGAAACACTTTTTCAATACAGGTCAAAGAACTATTTGCTATCTGTCAGTTGCAAAAGGAAAACAAGTAATCCCTTTGTTTCTCTGCTTTATTTGAATGATGGATGCTCTTCATTCTTTCGTGACCTTCCTGTGACTTCTGTGTCAGTGACTCTTTCATGTGTCTTCAGAAGACTCGAAAGCTTTGGCCTGTGATAACTATCAGCAAGCAATAGCTGTGGATGGATTATGCCTTTTGTAAGAGGTATTTTCAAAGCCTATGTCATGATGTGCTTATTTTTCCATCCCTCAGCAGGCACTAACTTGTATAACTCATGAGAAAAAGCATTTTGGTCAACCCTTGCAAGTGGCTAGTAATGATGTGTCATATTAGTGTGCCTAGCAACTCCAAGTGTTATGGATGATGCTTTCCACCAGGCTTGGCTTGAGTGTTTGTGTGCCAGTAATGGCTTCCCAATGGCAATCATCTTCCTGCAAGTCTCGTTCTCCTTAACTAGGGCTTAGATGATAACTTCCGAACATTGAACATTATGTCTCTCCTTCATGCTGTTGGTTGCCACTGCACTGACTAGTCAGGCCTGGCCTGACTATTGAATAACGTTCAGGCTCTCCTGTACAAGGGAGCCAGAAAGCAGCATTGTGCTTGTCTTCCTAGCCTCATTTCAACAACACAGGTCCCATTAAGTCTGATCGCAAGGCACTCCATGGATCTGCACAAGCTAAGACAGCATGCTGACACAAAAGAAAGGTTTCCATAGCTTAGTTGGTGTACCTCATCTTTCCTTACTGCATTACAGAAAAGGAAACACTGGGGTCCTGCTGATCCTATGCATGGTGTGCAATGGCATGATTATACAAGAATACATTGGCTCCTCAGGTCATTTCAGGTTAGGTACAGCAGAGCCACGCTAATTTTTATTTCACAAACCCTATTATCAGCTAATATACAACAAATGGCAATGTTTCCCCATATTTAGGAAGTATTTGGTAATATAGTTCTACCTTTTTTTTTTTTTTTTTTTTTTTTTTTTTCCCCAATGGGATCGTACATCTTGTTACTATGGGCTCTGACAGACTCATGATGAAAAATTTATATAGGATAACCACCGTGATTACTGCTCCTGAGACTTCAGTTTACTTTACTGTCCTGGACTGAAAACTGTGCCAGTTCAGGACCTGATTCCCCATGGATCAGATGCCCTGCCATGGAGACAGCATCATCACTTAACAGGACAGGGCAAATAAGAGAAGGAGATGATAACAGCTCCATCCATCCAACTTTAATCTTTTGTTACAAATCTGTCACAACGCTGGCACCAGCTTCCACAGAGTAAGCTCACAGTGGACATGTCCTAAACAGACTTTTCAATAAACCTATTGCATCTGAAGACAGGATGGGTTATACGTAAAACACTTATTGAAGTTGATTTTCTATTTTGTATGTCCACAGACTAAAAATGTTCTTAACATGGAGCTGCTAACCTGAATTAGCTACCTTGAATTAAAATAACACAGGGAACAAGGAAATTTGAGTCA